CCCAGCTGGCCAGTAACAGAGCTGAGATTAGAACCCAGGGGTCCTGAGTCCAAGTGCTCAGACCACCACTGTGCCACCTGCTCTTTTACAGCAGAGCTGTCCTTCCTGAGGGTGCCCAGCCCTGCCAGCTTGGTTACACACGAGGTGCTCCAAACCCAAAGGAGCTTTGTCCAGACTTAGCCATTCACATCACAGGTCAGAGGCAGGGGCTCAGAGCATCTTAGCTTTGCAGTGAATGTGCTTGGGACAGGCTCCAGTGCCAGGCTGAGTGGCATCATGCTGCAGAGTGCCACAGTTTACCTGTCAAGTGTGACCAGATAGGCACTGTGCCCTGCTGTATGACAGCAAGTGGCATCTTGGGATGAATTAGGGAGGCAGTGCTTCCTCATGCAGAGGGGACCTGCTGGTACTGCAGGATAGAAGGGCTCAGTGGTCAATGGAGTTGCTGACTCTGGTGGGTGCCTCCCCCTTCCCACCACCTGCCTTACTGTAGGCAGTCGGAGAAATCTACAGGTCATCCCTTCTCTGAGGCGGATCCTGCATCCACCCTCCCTCCCCCAGCGCCTTGGGAAGGGGGGGCTGTAATCTGATCTCACTGTCTCCCTCTCTCTTTTCTCCCTTTCTGGCTGTCTTAGGCTCAGAGTCCAGTGCCTTAGCTCAGAGGAGCTCGAAAGCAATCATGAGCCACACACGCTTGCTGCTGTTGCTCTGCAGCCTGGCTGGGAGCACTTGGAGCAAGGCGGCCAGTACCAACCCAAGGCTCAAGCTCTCCTTCTCAGGTAAGTGGCATGTCCTGTCCCAGGCACTGCTCAGTCCTAGCTGGAGAACACAGAGGGGTGCAAGTCCCTTCCTGCTGTCAGTGTCCAGCCAAAGCTGGATCTCAAGATGTATCTGGTGCACACCTCCCTCACCCCTGGGAGGGGCAGTGGAGTGACCCCATATAGCACCTGGAATGCAGGCTCTGTCAGACATGCCTGGCGAGTTAATCAATCTGGGAAATGGTAATGAATTAACAAGGGGGGCAGCACACAGCCTGCAGGATGGCTTCTGCTCTCCGTCAAACTGGCCAAGATCCGCAGTCACACTGGAAATCTAGAGCAGCAGGGACCATGATCAGACCTCACAAATCCAAAGCAAGCCAGTGGAACTGCACCACCGGTGAGACCTAGAGCAAAATCCAGCCCAGTGCACAGCCAAGTTTTCAGTCTCTAGTCAGTAGTTTTGAGACAAAGCAGTGGAGATCTTTTTTGGAAATGAAACACTTCCTGGGACTCTTCTGTCAGTAGTCAGGCAGTAACTGCCATGGGGCATGGTGGGCTGCCCAGCTCACCAGTGTCAGGGGTGCCTGTGGCATGGCTGTGCCCACCTGTGTAGTGTGTTTGCAGAATATGTACATTCACAGCCAGCACTTCCAGCCAGAGCCTTCTATAGCAAAGGGGAGTTGCCAAAGGTGTGGCATTAGGGCTGGATTCCTATGAGCAATCTGGAGGCCAGATCTTTGGTTGGCATCAGTAGGCACATCTCACATCAGTGGAATTGCTCTTGTTGATGCCAGCTTGGTTTGTGTGCTTGGCTACAGTACATCCACATGCTCCTGGCCTGTATAACCCTCCCATAGGGGTTGGCAGCACTTCAGCATGAGCAGTGTCTGGTGCCAGGAATGCTGTCCTTCTTGGGGTTATGGGCAAGACTGAAGCCAGCACAGCTGAGAGTGATGGGGGCAAGCATGCAGGGGTTTTGTCCCATGCTGAGATGCTTGTATGAGTGTGACGAGGAGGCGGGAAGCTTATTACAGCCACGCTGGGTCACTCAGTGTCATGCTGCATCCCTTGCCCTTGCTGTGAACCGCTGGGCCCTCTGCATGCTTCATAAGATGCTGCAACCCCCTCCACCATCCCTGAGGAATAACACTGGTTTCAGCTGTGCGTCCAGCAGATTAATGCTGACAGCTTTGATCTGCAAGTACTTGAGCTCCCCAGCATGGAGGGTCCCTGCTCCAGAGCCAGGGGGCTGCAGCTTGATCAAGTGCCCCATTGCATGTAGGGCTGGAATGTCCCATTCAGTGTGGATAGATGATGTTGATGGTGCAGCAGCAGTCTTCCTCTTGGATAGTGGGGCTGAGCTAGTCCCTGGGGCCAGCTCAGGCCCCCATCCTGTTGCTCTGGTGGGACCTGATCTCTGACTAGGGAGACTCCCACACCCCAGGTGTGACCTTCTCCCAACAAGGCTGTGAGGGAATATCTCAAAGGAAAAGGGGGAGACTTAGCTTAGTGCACCAGCCCCATCCATGAAGGGGAGTTGGCTGAATTCAGGCAGGGGGTGGTGCTCACCTTGGGGGAGCCCACAGTCCCAATCCCGCTCCAATCAGAATGGCTCAATGGTTCCACACTGTGGATGACAAGCCTTTCCAGGGGCTGGCAGCCTCTGCTAAGCAGTAATTGTTTTTTCTTTCTGTTCCCCCCTCGCCACTGGAGCCTTAGGGCAGGTGGGAGCGTGGGGGACTTTCCCTCCACTTCCACTGTCTAGAACCGGCAGCCGGCACCTTTTAAGAGCAGAAACAAAGGAGACTTCACAGTGGTGATTCTGTGGAATTACTGGCAGGTGCCCTGGCCCGGGCAAGCTCTTCCCATAGAGCCTCCCGCTCTCTAGCCAACACCTAACCCTGGTGCTGTGAGGACTCAGGCCCAGAACTGCACAGGCCGAGTCTTGCCCAGCACAGTGCTGCTGTGAATCCCCTGGCAGTCCAGAGTGGAGTCATCTTCATCAGTGCTCTTGTGATGAATAGGAGGTGGGAGGTAAGCAACAGAGGCTTGTGCCTGTTGCTTCTGGACCAAGCTTAGAGCAGCCGGTAGGAGGGGGAAGGAATCCTGAATGGGGTGGAGGAGGCCTCAAAGCTGCTCTAACTCCCACCCTGGCAGTAGCATCCCCCCAAGGGATAATGTAGCTGTGCTGAATATAAGCAGTGTCCACGTCCATGTACTTTCCCTCCCCAGGCAGGGGGCCTGCTAAGAGCACTGTTGTATACCCATGGTGTCCCAATTGCCTTGGGGCACCCCCATGGAGCCCAGGTTGGTTCTGCTCCTTGTTAGCCCCAGTGTGGCATGAAGGGTGGGAGCGCAGCCCCAAGTCAGGGGGACCCTTTCTGCCCCTGGCCTGCCTGCAGAAGTGATCAGAGGGAGCTGCAGGGGCAGCACTGCCTGGATCTCTGCTGGGCATTTACCCTTTGCACCAACAAGTCCATCACTGTGACCAGCCTGAAACTCATTGAGGAAGGGGGAGTCCCTGCCTCTTGGTTGATTTCCAGTAGAGTTGCTAGGCAACAGCATCAGGTTGCCTGGTTACCGCACGTGATACCACTCCTTAAATATTCAGTCAAGTTCTTCAGCCAGGCATCAGGTCAGCCTGAACAAAAGGGAAAGGGCACCAAGAAGATGAGATCCCTGCTGTGCCAGAGCCAGGCTCCCCAGCAGAGGGCACTGCAAGGCGTGGGCCAGAAGTTACTCCCCACCCTGCACCATCTCGAGTCCGTTGACTCCAATTCCTGCATCTGCTCCATTGAATTTTGTACTTTGTTCTCCCAGAGCAGCTCTGTGCCCTCCCTGCAGAGGTCAGTGCAGGCTGAGCAGCAGCATCCTGCTCCCAGGGATCCAGTGGCTGTAGGTCTCTGCCCACCCAAGCCCACAGGCTTGTGTGTGGAGAGTGAAATATGGTAACCATGGGGGCTGTACTGGGCTGGGTCATGATGTGGATGGCTGCAGGTTCCTCCATGGTGCTTGGGTCCATGTGGTAGGAACCAGGCACTGGCCCCTCTCCCAGCCATGTTAGGTAAGGTGGTCCCTGTCCATGCGGCAAGAAAGAAGCGGATGGGGATGGGCCCTCCGTGTCTGAATAGTGAACTGTGTGTTGAGCCATATGGTCAATGCCAGAGACCAGCCTTTGCCCAGCCCCTGTGGGGAGTGTGGAAACTAGCCAGGCTGGGGATGCTCCTGCTGTCCCCTTTCCAAACTGTTGGTGACTGGAGGAAGGGGCCTCTGAAGCACAGCGTTTTTAACCTGCCTGCTCTGCTTCACCTGGAGTGTCACAGTTGTAGCGGGACAGTTGATTCCTGGGAGCGGGAGGACCCTGCTGCTCACTCTGTGGGATGGAGGGCAGACTTGTAAGGCACTGGGTAATAGACCCGGCCTCTCCCTGCACTTGCTTGGACCTGCCTTTCTCAGCACTTGATGGCATCCCTGAGGGGGTGATGGTGCATGGAATGTGCACAGATGTGTAAGGACACACAATTGCCTGTGCAGGTACATGGTAACCCAGGATCACAAATGTGCACACAAGATGCACAAACCTTGCAATGTCTCTGGCTCCTCAGCTCCTGGCCTGGCTCCTTCCTGATGTTGCTTTGTTGCTGCTCGCCCAGGGTTCTGCAAAGGCATGTTAGGGGCAGGAGGGTGGCACCTGAGTAGGGTGGGGAGGGCACAGAGAGCAGGGAGCTGGCCTGGCTCTGGCCCCAGAGCCATGCCGGGCTGCCTTGTCCCACAGCCATGGTGCACCACCCCAGCCAGCAGCTCATTAGTGGGCAGTTTGCTTCCCTGCAAGCGGCTTTCTTTAGCCTCTTCACAATAGTCCATTTGTTCCCACTGCTGTGAGCAGATTAGCCTCTGCAGGCAGAGAAAGGGCCCTTTTTCCCTCAAGCTGCCTCTTGTGCTGAGCGATTAATGTTGGGTTGTGGCAGGGGCTGCTAACCTGCTAAAGCTGGTGGGATGGCTTTGGGGGAGGGGAGGAGAGAGGAGGGGGAGCCTCTGGGTTGAAGTAAGCCAGGACTGGGCAGCCAGCTGGTCTGAGTGGTAGCACTGGGACTGCATGTGCTGGGCTGCCCAGTGTACTCCATCATGGGGACTGTGCCCTGCAGGTGCACTTGCAGGTAGTGGGTACTTGAATCCTACAGAAAGTCTCTACTCTTATTTCCAAAGAGAAGGAAGAGCACATGATATATGGGGAGATGGCTGATCCCATCAAAGCCCCAAACCTTTGGCAGAACAGCAGCTCCAACAGCCACTCATGTTCTTGTTTCTGTAGGGAGCGGTCCTGTATAGGCCTACAGCACAGGACTGGGAGTCAGGACCTAGGGTTTCTCCACTTTTGGCTCTGGAAGGGAAGCAGGGAATGGTAGGGGAGATTCCAGAGAGAAAGTCAAGGCCTAGCGGGGCTGGCCTGTGCCAGAGCCCAGGCATCCCCTGCAGAGTTCATAAAGGGGCAGAGCAAAGCTTACCACAGAGCCACCGCTTCCACTTCAGCTCTCGTTTCTCCCTCCAGAGTTAAAGGCTCGCCACGGGCTGCGCACCCATGAGCTGGAACACTCCTGCTGCTACGACACACTGCTCTTGGATGAGGAACGTGGCTGCCTCTTTGTAGGAGGCAAGAACCACCTGGCGTCCCTGAGTCTGGACAACATCAGCAAGCAAGACAAGAAGGTAACAGCCCGGCTCCTGCCTCATGGGGTCAGCATGGGAGGTCAGCATCTCAACCAGGGGTGCCCCCAACCTTGACCCACAGCATCCTGCCATCCCAGCCCAAAACTCTGCCAGTGCCCCCTCCATCCCAGCCTGCAGCCCCTGAGTTCCTCCTCAGATGATGTTGCCTGAAGTGAGGGAAGGAGACTTGGGGATCTGGATGTCAGTTACCAAGCACCAACCTGAGGCCCACCAAACTTGGGTCAAAGTCCTTTGCCCCTGGGGCAGCAGGCTCCAGAGTTTCTCTCAGGACACCTCTTGATTGTGCAAGGCCTCAGCTGCACTGCATGAGACCTAACTGCAAAGAAAGCCACCAGCTACGCCTCTCTGGGAAGGGGCCTGGATGCAGCTCAGCTGTGTGCCGGCACACCCCAGGCTGCCGTGAATGGGGTGCCCATGCCCGGGGTCCAGGGGAGGGAGCTACCCGGGTCCAGCTGGGCTTGGGATGCAGCATCCACTATGGCTCTGGTAGAAGCAGCAGCTGATTTCTCCCCCAGCTCCTTTCAACCAGGACATTCATTAAAGGCAGTTTCCTGGGGGAGTTGGCAGGGAGCAGGAAGAGGAGGAGGCTGGAATGCTAGGAATGTCGCCTCCCAAGGAATCACCACTCCCTTGCCCCTCCCTGTTCAAGGGTGCCTAATCCCCCAGTCTGCCATCTCAAGCGCAATAGGGACCCATGTAGATCTGGATTGAGGGAGACTGGCTGGGCTGAGGAAGAGGCCAGGGCCAGAATGGCCAACAAGGGCTGTGGAACAAGATTGAGTAGCACTGTGTTGGGAAGCATGTCCAGTGCCTACCCATGTTTACTTAAAGGTCAAAAATGTAACCATAGGCTGTTGCTCCCCTAAACTTACCTACTGTCTCCACAGATATACTGGCCAGCACCTGTGGAGTGGAGGGAGGAGTGCAACTGGGCTGGCAAAGACATCAATGTAAGTGCCTGGTTGGGCTAAGCCAGTGGGAGGGCTGGGGGATAATGCAGACTGCACACTTCACTAAGAAGGTCTCTGGGACCCAGATCCCTGTTTTGGCTGTGCCAGGCTTTGGGATGAGTCCAGCCCCTTCAGCCCCTTGGAGAATCTTTCCAGCCATTCCCTGGCAGCTACAGTGAAAACCTCAGGCCCTTCCCAGCCAGTGTGAACTCTGTATCCTGGTGATGGAACTGCTGGAAGGACATAATGCCAGGTACCATGCCCTAGATGCCAACCTATCCTGCCAGCCTGGCATTCAAGCAGAGCTTCCCAGCATTTGTCCCTAGGGACAGCCACAGTGAGCATCAATGGGGGTCCTGCCATTGACCCCAGTTTGGTGATCTGAGGGTGGTACCTCCTGTTTGCCCTTGGATACATAGGATGGAGCTGGTCCTGTGCCCCTGGGAGGGTGTAGGGCCTCTTGGAGCATGGAAGAGATCACACAGAAGGGCTGGGTGCTGCTGAGCTTTGCTACATCACAGGTCAAACAATCTGGTGCTGTCGTGAGGAGTGTGTCTCCTGGAACCATGCCTGATGGTAGACCCCAAAGTCCCTCCCTTAGGGTCCATTCCACAGGGGAGTCCAGCACCCCCTCAGCTGGCATTGTCCTTAGGGTTGCCCTGCAGGGCTAAGCCCAGTGAGTACACTCTGACCTCCTGAAGGGGCCTTCTTCCTTCTCCTGGAACAACACCCCCCCCCCCCCCCACACACATCCACACACGCTGAGGAGAAGCAGGGCAGGGGTATTTCCCATCAGCCTGTCCCTTCCTAGTGACCAGACCGGTTGAGGCAGTCTGGCACCCCACCTGTCCAAGCCCACTTGCTGACCTCCTGGGAGATCAGTGAAGCTGGGGTAGGGAGGAAGCCCCAGGATGTGGTGAGATCTGCTCTGGAGAAAGGCAGGGACTGGGAGGGAGTTCTGACCTGGGCAGCAATGCAGGGTGATAGCAGGAGCTAGAGATGCAGCATCATGGGGGGCAGTGCCTCTTTTGTTCAGCTGTGGACCCCTCCTGTGGGCAAGATGATCACAGCTGCTCCTTTGGCATTGACCTGTTAAGAGCAGTTGGGGGGGGGCAGTGGGACTGGAGTGAGCTGCTGCTGTGGATAAGGATCCACAGGAGGCTGTTTGCTCCTTTCCTGCTGTAGGGCTGGCCCACATCTAGATCAGACCTGGACAAGACTGAGGCTAAAGGAGGAGTTTGTCTCTAGGATCTCCCTGATCCAGAGGGCTGGTGGGGAGACAGTGAGGGGTTTGCCCATGATCTCAATGGAGACAGTTGGTTTTGGGGGAGAGGTGCCCAACTGACCTTTCTTTGAGTTTTAACCCTTTTTGCCCTGCTGTGGTGGCAGCCTGGGCCCTGTTCCATCCCACTGCGGTACTAGCTGTCCTCAGCCCCCAACCATCTTGGCTCGCTACCCTCAGAATCAAAGAATGATAGAGAAGTCAGGGCGGAAGGGATGTCTAGGTCACCTAGTCCAACCCCCTGCCTGAGGCAGGATCATCCCTATCCAAACCATCCCACACAATTCCTATCCAAACCATCCCACACAGTTCCTTTCCAAACCATCCCACACAGTTCCTTGTCCAACCTATTACTAAACTATACAGTCAACCCTGCCATACAACTACAAGGCACAGCACTCTAATCTGGCACAGATTAAGCAGGGCACAATGGTGGTCAGAGTCCTGCTGCCTTAAGGGTTGTTAAAATTCAGACGAGAGACCCAAGGAAGAGAGCCATGCCCTACCCACCCCAATCCCCCTGCTACAGAGGTAGGCAAAACCCCCACAGTCCATACCAGTCTGACCCCAAGATAAAATCCCTTCCTGATTCCAGATAAAGTGATTGGCCAGAACCTGAGCAGAAGGGCAAGACCCTGTAGCCCAGAACCTCTGGGTTGAAGTCCCAGCACCAGCAGTGGCACACCCCAGTCAAATTCCCCAACATCGGCTGCAGCAACACCCAGTGCCTCTGAGGAAGGGGAAAAAAACCCTGGCACCTATAGCAAGAGGAGGGAGAAAAATAATCCTTCCTAGCTCCAGCAAAGTCCAGAAGCATTGGAAAAACCAAACACACTCCATTCTGCTCTGCAGCCTGGGGACACCAAGCATAACTCCACACATCACACCATCTTACTGGACAGTCAGGCCCCCCCCCACACTTTCTGTATCCCTTCCATAATCTTATCCTAGCTCCTTTAAATATATTTCGCAACTAAGCCAGTTGTGGAGCTCTGCTTCATTTTTCTGGTGCTGGAATATGGTCATCTCCAATATCTACCTGCCATAGGATTCAGCCCTCTTTTCATTATCTCCCAGCAACCCATGTGACGTGGGGGGCTCTTGGGCTTCTAACTGTTACTCTTAGCAGAGCACTCCAGGCACAGCTGCTTCTAGATCATCCTTAACCCAGGGGTTTTCAACTTTTTTTAATAAGTGTACTCCCAATGGTCAGACGTGGAGCAGGGTGGGGGGTGGGGGAGGTGGTGCATGGCCAGATAAAGAGAGGATGCAGGATGGTGGGTGGCAGCAGTGGCCGCATGTGAGTTTCCCTCCTGTGTCCAGCAAGCCAGGCAGTGCCTGTGCGGCCCGCAGAGAGGCACTGCTGCTGTGGCCCCCCACCCCCGGCCCTGCTCCTGGGAGGCAGTGATGCGGGGTGGTGGGTGGTGACACCCCATCCCCACCTGCCCGTGTATACCTCCTAGAGCCTTCCCAAGTACCCCCGGGGGTACACATACCCCCGGTTGACAACCTCTGTGCTTAACCAATGCTTATCCAGCCTCTTCTTGAAAACCTCCAGTGATGCAGGCTCCACAGCCTCTCTAGGAAGTCTGTTTCAAGGGTGCTGAAACCTCTGGGCTGTGGGTCATATGAAGCCTGCAGAGCCTTGAAATCTGGCCTGGGGTTCCCCATGGGTCAGGAACTCTAGCAGCAGGGAAGCAGTGGTAGTACTGTCACCCCACCCATTGCCAAAATCCCAAGCCCTGTGGGCCAGGTCAGAGCCAGGCCACCAGCCTCCCTCCCATAGGCCCAGATCAGGGCACAGCCACACCTCCCTCCTCCCCTCCCTCCTGCAGGGCTGGAGCATGCCCTCTTCCTCCTCCAGGCCAGGTTGGGGCCAGGGCACGCCCCCTTACTCCCATGAGGTCAGGTCAGCCCGCACCCCTGCCTGGCCAAAT